AAAAAAAATCAACTGTGGTAATGATTGTACAACTCCTCTTGATATGACTGAACTATTGAATTGTATGATATGTAGATGAAGTGGCAATAAAACTGTTTTAAAAAAAGAAGTGTGTTAAGGATTGAATTATGTGTCCCCAAAATATATGTTGCAAATTCTACTTCTATCCAGGTGGTTAAAATTCCATCTGGGGAAGGGCTGTCTTTGGTATTTTAATGAGGCAGGGTTGGTGGTGGTTGTGTCTTGTGGTGATTAATCTCTTACAAAATACCAAAGAAGCAGATTAAGGAAACAGAAATGGAAGACGGATGCCAAGCCACGTGGAGAGCTCCAAGAAACTAAGAAAAAGAAGCTAAAGAGATGCCAAACCTGAAGACCAAACTCACTGCCATTAAGCTGATTCTGACTCAGAGTGAGCCCACCGGGCAGAGTAGAACTGCCCCTGTAGGTTTCTGAGACTGCACACTTTATGGGCGTAGAAAGCTGGTGGTTTCCAACTGCTGACCTTGCAGTTAGCAGCCCAATGCGTAACCCACTACACCACCAAGACTCCTCGGAGAAACATGCCAGCAGCCTGTATTCAAACACCTGGCCTCCTACGTGGCAAGAAAGACCATTTCTAGGTGTGAGAGCCGTCCACTTGTTATGTCCACCACTAAGATGATGATGCTCTCTTTTCCGCCACACATAAACTGCAAAACTAAGACTATCTCCCCGCTACTCCATACTGGCAAAAGTTCAAAAAAGTTTGATCATTGTACTTCTAGCATAAATACGGAAAAAGTCATTGCATTACATGTGGGTATATAGACAGATATCTAGAAAAATAACTTTGTAATGACTGCCATGATGATAAATCATATATGTAGGAGCTTCAAAAAGGTGCTGGAAAATGGAATTTTTAAAAAACGGAATTTTCCCAAGAACTTTTTGAACCCCTTTTGTATTCTATGACCATATAACTTCGGGGTTAAACATTTGCCCACGTGATATATTTGCACGAAGATGCCAAGCCAGTAGCACCCAGACTTTCACCACAGGATGAAACAAGGGACTGATGAAGTGGCTGATGGCACAGCTCCACAATGGCACATACCAGGCAGCCATTTAGAAACAGCTGGGAGGAGCTCTGGTGGCGCAGTGGTTACGAGTTGGGCTGCTAACTGCAAGGTCAGGAGTTTGGAACCACGAGCAGCTCTGTGGGGAGAAAGACTAAGATTTCCCCCTTCCAGGGGAATGAACAACAGAAACGTGGGTGAAGGGAGACATGGTCGGTGTAAGACATGAAAACAATAATAATTTATAATTTATCAAGGGGTCACGGGGTGGGACGGGGGTGGGGGGTAGCGGAAGAGGAGCTGATACCAATGACTCAAATAGAAATAAATGTTTAGAAAATGATGATGGCAATATATGTACAAATATGCCTGATATAATTGATGTAGTATAGAAAGGGACAAGAGCTCAGGATACACAGAATCCAGGAACAGGAGTGAGAACAGTGATACCAGAAGGGGAGGGGGAAGAGGGGAAGAGGAAGGGAGAAAGGGGGAGCAGATGGCATGATCGACGCATAGCCATACAGTCCCTCGACAGGGAGATGAGCAGAAAACACGGGGGAAGGGAGACAGTGGTTGGTGTGAGAGAAGAAAATAATAACAACGTACAATCTATCGGGGAGTTATGAGGGGGGGGTGTTAAAAAAAAAGCTGATACTAAGGGCTCAATAGAAAGAATGAGGGCAACATATGTACAAACATGTCTGATTCAATTGATGTATGGATTGTGATAAGAGTTGTACAAGCCCCCAATAAAATGATTTTTTTTAAAAGCTGTAAAAGCCCCCAATAAAATGATTTTAAAAACAACAAAAACAAAACAAAAAAAACCCCAGCTATGGACCTGAACATACTAATAGAGTAAGATCAAGGCAGATTCGCTGAAAAACAGCTGGCACAGAACAGTTTAAATAGCATCTCTTTAGCTCTGTTACTTACTTTAATGGATAAACACATACAGCACTTTTATTGGATCCACATCCATGTGAAAGATCTGCAGTGTCCTAGCTTCCTTTCTCTGCTCCCTTTCACAGCAATACGGCCCCCCACAGTTGTCTACATTCGCCTTCTGTTCTTTATTTCCCGCTTCTTCTTAAGCTCTTTCAAGTGGACGCTGTCCCTTCTATCTACAAGACCCGCGGAGTCAATGAACTTCATGTTGTCACTTCCAGGGGCCATTCTCTATTCCCACCTTGCTTTTCTGAATCAGCTAACAATTAAGACCACTTCCAATCCTGGAACACCTCTGTGTGGACTTCTAAAGTTTGGAGGCCTGAGTCCCAATAACTTCTCTATTCAGACTTTCTTCTCCAGTAAAACCAATCCCACGGTTTTGTCATGAAAATGCCAATCACTTCCAAATTGCTAACTCTAGCCTGATCTCTCCCATGAGCCTCAGGCTAGTAAGTCCAGCAATTTGATGTCTTCACTTCATTTCTACCTTAGAATAGCTCCTCCAGGACTTTCCACACCCAATCCAGTGAGTGAGAAGTCCCACAGATTCTCCTTAACATCTGGTTCTTTTGCCCCCATGACAAAATACCACAGCTGGCCACCCTCAACTCCGGTAGGGTGGCCAACATCTTACCTACCCCTGTAAGGCTCTGGTCTCCATATTTTGGGTTCCGTGTACATTCAGATCTTATAATGCGTAAGGTTCTACTCCTCTACTGGATGTGCTCTCTGATACAGTAAAAATTCAAACCTAAATTCACTGCCATTGACTCAATTCTGATTCCTAGCGCCCTAGTTCACTTTAAAAATAGTATTCATAAAATTATCTGCCCATAACTTTCTAAAGCCAGAGGCTTACAGGCGCCCTGGTTGGCAGTCACTGACCAAGTCTCTTACCCTCTTCTTCCCAGGCTCAGAAGCACGAGTGTCATAATCATCAGGGAGCTGGAGATAATCCTCCATTCTGCTGGCAATGGCCTCCCAGTCACGCTTCCTTTTAGTGCCAGTCCTCAAGCCATCCAACTTGTCTGTGGGACAAACACAGAGCCGTAGTATTAAGGAACGGTGTGAGTTTGCACAAAACACACAAACAAGGGAAAAGAAAGCTGGAACACTTTCAGAAGACACATCCACATTTTCGAGAGCAGCATAACTGACCGATCCAAAGTATCTTCTTGGCTGAGATACTATCAATTTCTAGGCAATTTCCACTGTTTATATGATGTTCATGCTGGTAGCCGTTGTAATGTTTAGCTTAAGTAACAGATATTTCCACAGGCAAGAGAAGGGCGCTTGTGTCAGCCTCCCTGCTCCCCCACCTTCTAAAACCATGACACATTAGCTCTTATGTTCTAAAGGAAAATGCAAAGGTGGCTTTATTCTACAAATAACTTCTTCCACTGGAACACCAAAACAAAACAGTATCAGTACCACCCATTTGATCTGCACTCCGGTGTGAGATTGTGTCAGGTGTAAGCAGGTGGTATCAAGGACATACTGAGTCAGGCTCATGTTTAAGAATGTTTGAGATCCACAGCCAACATTGAGCAGGAATACCTGCATTTTGGAGATAATTTACCATGAACTCGTGTTTCTAAAGAAGGTGATTTTTCAAGATCACTACTTTTTCTGGGTATATTATGACGTGCTGCTGACCATTCTGTGGCTAAAGATTACTCAGTCAAAGCAACCAGATTTGAATTTTCTTACTGAGCTCTCTTAATCTCCAAGGGCCCCAAACAATAATCAATTAAATAGACAAGGACTGCCTATTCAGAAATTGTAAGTTTACATGTCTTCAAGAACACACAGTGAAAATGTATTGGTTTTTTTCTTTATTTGTTGTGAATTGATATTTGAATACTACACATGGAACATCAGGAGTCATACTTTATATATACAAATTCTTTAGCTACTTCGAAGCATCAAACTTTTGATTCATCTGAAGTTATAGAAACACACTATTACTAAGCAGGCCAGTGAAGAAAAGCCTAAAATCTTGGACACACAGTGACCACACTTTAAAGAATCCCAGAGAGGGTACAGCAAGTACAGAACAGAGCTCTTTAAGACGCCAAGTTGGAAGATCTTGGTATGAAAAGAGACGTGCAATGGAACAGTGGTACAAAGGAAGGTGAGCTCATATTTCAATTATGGAAATTTCACACACAACTCACAGTATCCATATCATACAAGCTTTAAAAATCAGTAAGACTTTGCATATTTGGAAAAGCTTTTATTTTCTAAATCCCTCCCCCATAGAAGCAATATACCTGAAAAATGAGTAAGGCGAACTACAGCATTTTTACAAAACTCAAGAAAACTTTTATCATCTCACTCTGGAAAAAATTTTAACATAGATGGCTTCAACATAAAGTCTTCTAATCTCTTCCACAAATCAATGGCTCTATCTACATGTAAATGACAGGCCATACTACACAGCATCTTCAAGAGATGGCAGCTTGGCTGCATAGGGACACAAGATATGATAGTATAAAACCAACCAAGTCCCACAAACAATACAACTATTCTAGTCAACGTGCACAGTATTACCCAAAGGATAGGATGGGAAATTCTAACACACTCATTAAATACCCCGAAAGAATTTCCAAACTTATTAAGTTTAGACATTAACATACCTCGGGGGGGGGAATCCATATTTAACTTCTAAGAATATAGCATGGCGAAACAGCAATGCAGAAATAGAAGTGTAAAAATTGGAAAAATTTCCCCATACATTGGGATAGGAAAGGAATTACAGATCAGGAGTTCCATATTTGCAACAGGGAAGTTCACAAAAGCATGTGTTTCTAGTTTGAGCACCCATGTTTGAAAGTGAATCGTGTCTTAATCTGTTTAAAGTTTCCTCGTTGAGACTGAAGAAGGGCTCACACCTCTTCCACATGGCATCCTGAAAGCCCAAACGCACAGATGAGGGGAGAGGAACATAAGGTGGGGTGTTAAGTGCAGAAGGAAGAATGGTGTCCAATATACGCAACTCATACTAACAATCTGCAGAGGTTTTAATTTTAAAAATATGAATTTTAATATGAAGATGAAGTTTCAAATATTCAACTTGGTAAGCCACAGAATTCTACATCTTCAAAACAGTATATATTTTTGCAGCACAAAATATTTATTTATTTAGCTATATCTTTAGCTACATCTATTTATATTTGACATGTAAATGGTATTCTGAACATTCTGCTCAAGGTGAACATACATGGGTCGCATGTCTGAGTAATAGTTATACAACTGTGAGAGGTAAATCTGTCTGATATAGAGACAACTCAACTTGTGCTCATGAGCTTAGTGAACTGTTCTCACTTAAAGATTACTATGAAAGGCATTCGAGAAAGTTCATAAGAAAACATCATTATCTTTTAATTTCATCTTCCTGAGAACTTTTAAAAGCCTCCTTGATATATATAACTCATAAGCACAGGGAAATGACACTGAGGTAAGTAAAGCTAAAGTTCCCATTTTGGAGAAATCTAAACTAGAATGATAAGCACCGCAAGTATTTCAGTCCTCACAGGCTGAGAAGCTAAAATTATGCCATTGGAACTTAAGTGGCTTTGGTGTTCAATCCCAACATCTGATGTGGGAAGTGACACTAACATCAGGGTGCATGTGTGCCAGCTAGGCAGAAGCTAGCCAAGTGGTTTGAAGCTGGGCCACACACAGCCCCAACAACCCCATGGCAGGTGCAGTGGAGGCCTGTTCTGAATTGCACATGGCATCCACTGAGCACAGATCAAGATGTCTGCGATGAGGCGTGACCATTTCCCAGAAAGACTATAGGTTAAGCAGTTTCTCATTGCCAGACTCATTTATGAGTTAAAATTCCTCAGGTTCAGATTCATTATGCTTGTTGGAAACCTATTATGTTAGAGTTTAATATAGTTCCATCTTATTTTCAAGATATTATCAAGAATAATTTAAGAATGTCAGCAAAATATTCAGAAAAAGAACTTGTATATGGTAACCAAACTGAATTGTTACGAGACAAGGAAGGCAAAACAAACAGGCAAATTCTTGGATTCAAAATCTCACATTCAAGAGAAGAATCTCATCAACTGGTTCTATGAACAACTTCAAGGATGTTAAGCTCTTATCAAGAATGCTCACACTCAATTTGCCTTCCTCAATGGCTGGGTTAGCTCTTTACATGACACAAATGGTATGAGATGAAGGTTATAAAATATAGGGGCCATCAACATTCTTATTAAAAACAAAGAAAATCCAACTGCAAACATGTTAGAAGCTATGTTCAGTTCATTACCAGCCATCCATCCAGTGCCTTTGACCAAATTGGTTTATTTAACAAATCCTTTTCTGAAATTCAGTGTCTAGAGTTCTATACTTTTTAAAAAAAACTTTTCCCCCCCAAGTCATGTTATTAGGACATAATCCTAATTATTAGGATTATTAGGACATAATCCCATAATCCTAACTCATACCATTCATTCAATAGTGCAGTCATATAAAAGTGTTCTATCTTTAAAAACACCTGAATTTATATAAAAGATATTTTCTGAGAAGCAAATGGTAAACGGGCCAGACTTTTGCTTTCCACAGAAAATACTAAATTTAATACCACAATTTCTTGAATAGTCATCACAATGATATCTCATTTTCCTTTCTCTTTAGAAACTAAAAAAAGTAGAAAATGAACTAAAAGGCATTACGCTAGCTTATGAAGCCTCTGAAGGTTCTATGCTGTTAACTTTGTCACTTTTACAATTCCCTTGCTTACCTATATTTATTATTTATCTCCTTATCCCAAAAGATAATTATTATTTTGAGAACTAGATATGAATGATCTTAGTCATACATGTTAATCTGACATACAGGACTACAACAAACAGACTTAATCTCATGTCAAAGGAAGCAGGTCTAAAAGCACTATCATTTGATTACCCACTATAATATTGAATTGCATTTAGACACTTATGCTTCAAAGGTCTACCAAAGGAGAGAGTTGGTGGACGTAGAAAAAAATGTCATGACCATATTGAATTTTCAGATGACATTTACTAGATTTTCCCCACCCCCAAAGTTTATAACAGAGCATCTACCTGGGTACTGTATTAATATTAGTTTATGTAACCATCTTTCAACAAAGACCCCAGTCAACATGAACTGCTAATACAATCAGTTAGTCGAGCAAAACGAAGGTGTACTGTAGCCTGTGCAACTGTAAATAAAATGTACCCGCTTACATATCAGGAGCACAGACAATGTGGGCCAGGAGGAAAGCAGCTCAAGGACTAACTCTGGAGACGGCCCGAGTTATACTAGTTTCAGAGTACAAGTATGATATCAGGAAGCGAAACACAGACCGAAAGTCACACTTCATACATCAGTAACCCAATCTTTTCAAAAAGGTTCTGTCACATTTTCATGGATTTTATGAATATGTCGTAATAAACTATTTAAACGGCTTTTTAAGTGAGGTTAAAAAAAATAATCATTGGAAAACTACATTCACCATCGTGAGATATTGGAGGAAACCCCACTGGATATTTCTGCTCTTCTGCTTAAGATATCCTCCCATTAAGCAGCTCCAGTGTTATATTTAAACAACCATTTAACTAGTTCACCTTTAATCTAGCACTAAAGACAACATGAAGGAAACGCAGGCTCCTCGAAAGTTTACATTACATATCTGTCCCTTCTTACCCAGAAATGCTCATTTATTGTATATGGTAAATGACTTCCTTCTAATAAAAGACAATACTTTAATATTTATCATTATTGTCATCATCCAAAGTATTCACAAGCAGGCTCAACACTGGATTGCCGTGAAATACGTTTTTAAAAAGCAGGATGCACACTAAGTAAGCACCAACATCTATGATTTATATCATAGAATGAATTTTAAAAGTGACAGGGTTCTGTTACTACATTTATCACATTTCTGTTTAAGTGTTATGGAATGTTGTTCCTTTAGGATTCTCTTCTGTTCCTTTAAAATACTCTTCTCTCTCACAAGATGCAAATAGAATTAAACCCAAAACTAGCAAAATAGGTCAAAGGATGAAAGCTAGGCCGAAAATCTTGGTTCAAGCAGAGCTTTCGGGAAATGTGCTCATTTTATAGAAGATCTACGACCATTACCACCAGGTATCACATATAAAAACAGGAAAAAGGAAATACCCACCTAGCTTTGCCTCAGATGTGTCCATCTCCCATTTGCTTTTCGGAATGTAACCCTAAATTGTACACAGAGAGAAGCTCGAAGGGTTAGAAAGAGACACATACATGCACATCACTTTTGAACTGGAAAAGCATTAAAACTGGGATTGCATTCCGTTCCCACTCACTAGTTACAAACGTATAGGGAAAGCACAGTATCATTATCTTGGAAGAAATGGAATTACCAAATTTGCCGACTTTGACTGCCCAGCTATCAGAGGAGTCACTTCAGAAAAGTGTCATGAAGGTGCTTTTGAGGCAGCTACAGTTCAGAACTCATGATCGCAGTCTGGACAACAGTGGTCCAGCAAGCATGACAGGAATGTGTGGGTAGTTACTGTGCTAACATTAATACTCTTTGGAGTGGTACAGTTTAGGATTTACACCAGCTGGGTTACTTCCTAAAGACAACTGCTAATCTCAAGCGATAGCAGCATGAGGGCCAAAGGGTGTTTTTCCAGAGTTATTTTATGTTCCACTATAATTCTAAGCACTCAAAGAAAGTAGAAAACTTGGTATCCCTGAATCAACTATTAAGTTCAACCTGATTTAAAGACTCAATTGATTTTATCAGTTAGACTTTACCCAGGCTAATCCTACTGAATTAATTCCATAGCAGTTATCTTCAATCACTTGGAATTTCAGTTATTATTTCTGATATCTTTTAAATTTATGTTTTCCCATTATGTGCAAACGCAGGTATCTCCACGGGCAAATTCCACCGTATATTACATATCTGTGTAGTTTATTTGAAACAAACCCCCATATGTTTTTCAAACTTCCCAATGCAGCTATGTAACTTTGAATAGCCTTTTCAGTTTATGCACCTCACAAATACAAGCGTTTTCATGTGATTTATTAAGATTCTTTTTTCCTTAATTTAGACTCTGTTTTCTATTAAATCCTAACATTTAATATTAAGACTTATTACAGAGGGCTGATTCATCGAAAGTGCCAATATCTTCTTTTAAGAACCAATATATGCCTTTACAGTTGGGAATATTCCAAGTTCGTAGCACAACTTGTTAGGCAGGTAAGTAAGAAAGTACGTTGAAGGCTTCACGACATTAGCTTCTGTGTGAGGAAGCTATTCTTTTCTACAGCAGCATCATCCTGCCAGGTGACCTATGGTTTTCATATATTTCTAATCCCTAAACCAGAATTAATCATTCAATTTCAACTTAGTAGATAATATTTCAGGTTATAAATTATATCATCTTTTACAAATATATTTTTAGAATAAAACAAGACAAATTATGGTGAAGTAATGGTACTGAAAGTATCGATCAAATTTGTACAAGTCACATCTCAAAAATCATCTGAAAACTGTAAGCATCATTAGAATAATATATTTATAAACTCTGAGTCATATCTACTAGGTTCACTGAAACCCTACAGAAGGCAAAACAGCACAACCAATGACCCCCAACAATTCGCTTAGATGAGAGGCTGGATTCCACCCAGCTATATAGTCAGTAGAGTGGAAAATGCAATGTTTACTGAAAAAATGGTCTGAATGAACCGAGACTTGCTCTTGACCCCCTTTGGTTTCGATTCTCCAGGAATCTCTTACTTTTGGAATCAAGTCCAAGAATAGAAGATATCTGGATTCTGAATCGTTGAATGAGTTAAGAGAGTTTTATAACACAAACTAAACGAGCATGTTCGCGTCCCTCTGTTGAAACCTCCTTGTTCTTTCTTAAACTTTATTCCCCTCCAATTGTTCTCTTAAAAGGATAGGTCGTTTAGAAATAGAAGACATGGTCCGGTAAGATAGAGTTCTAGGACTTCCTTGCCAGGTCTCTGAAGTAAAACTACAGTATTACATTGTGTTTCTTTCTTTTTATTATTGTTTTTTTAAATTAAAAAGTATATTCCACTAAAAGTTCCAGCTTTTACCTATACCTAAGCAAGTCATTGTTATAAACAGTTTTCTTGAACGGAAATCTCCATAGAGATGAAGCTTTAGAAAGCTGCAAGTTCACAGTGCACAGACTTCTCACATGATGGCTATACAGTACACACGCTGCAAGTAGGGAAAGAAGCCGTTAGCAATACTCCAGAACAGCGTGGACCTTTATGTGAGTTTCCTGCCCACATTTTAGCTCACAGCCAAGGGGCTTCAAAAAGTTTGTGAAAAAAACAGAATTAAAAGATACTGGAATATTCCTCATGAACTCTTTGAAGCCCCTTTGTATGTCAAAACACAACTTTAAAAATGAATGCTGAGACTCAAATGCTATTAACTTTAAAGTTTTTGTCGCCTATCCCCACCCCCCTTCCACATTGGAAATTTGGTTGTGTAGAGGTTGATGCCATCTCTACATCAACACAGCTAGTACCCAGTCTTCAATGTTACACGTGGTTTGATGGGACTACACTTTAGAGAATCTGTATACACTAGGGGGTAGGAAGTATGTTGTCACTTTGTACATTTTCAGAAGAATATGAGAAGCCGCTTTCACAAGGGCTGAGGTATCAAATAAACTGAGCAGTACCTTGGATTAAAGAAGCAACACTATTTCAAATCATTGCAGATCTTTGTATTCATTAACAAACACTAAAAAGTCAACATAACTCTATAGATCGCATGTTTGTGAACGACAGGGTAAAGCACACATTTCTACAGAGGTGTGATCAAAGCATTCGCAGTAGGTACTCGGGAGCTTTCAAATCACACTATGTAAACTTCTAATAGTGTGAGTAAAATCCATTGTCTAGAGAGTCAAATGACTGAATGCAGAAGAACAAATCCAGCAGTAAGTGGTAACACTATGTCTCCTCATTCAATAGCAGCTCTTCTGCTTCAGGTGGTACAAATTCAATTTTGAGATCTTGCAGCAAAGAAGAGACAATTACACACATGTTGTGTAGGCTGTACCACATCCTGCTGGAATGTAAACATGTCCTTTCATATTGAATAGATTTTCTTGATACTCTTAAAATTACCTAGAGATAGTTAAGTTTGTACAAGTGTTAAGTTTCTCAGCACTCTTAAATTTTTCTTTCAACAATACAATAGAGAGTAGGTTCTTTTGGTCTGAAAAAAAACAAACAGAAGTATCAAGAAGTTTCCTTGGAGATGATTATGGAAACTTTTACCATTAAAAGGAATATCAAAATAGAAGCTATAATTTGTACTGCAGATCTGAATTTGAAACAAGACCCTTCTTAAGAATTTAAATAAAGAGACACTTTGTTCAAAATGGTTGGTCTGTCTCCTACCAGTTCGCTTTCCTCTTCTTCTGCATCTTTCTTTTCTTCTTTCTGTTCTTCAATATTTGCATCAAAATCTTCCATCTCTACCTGCAGCCCCCCAATAATTAAAACAACACTTAATTAACAGGTAGGAAAATGCTGACTTGCTCAATGAGATCTATGAGGAGCACAGTTGCCCAGGGCCAAACCATGGAGAAGCACTGTTATGTAATAAATACGTTTCAACCCTAAATTTTGAAACAGCTGGTAAAACTCCAGTCTTTAAACATCCGGGGATAGCCATGGGTATAATTTCCGCTGGCGGCTAGTGAAATGTTCAGCTCTGAATAGATGTTCACCTGTTTTGAATGCCTATGGGTCACTAGGATTTCTTTCGAAAAATCTTTACAAATTCTTTTTCCAATCAGACAAAACACATGCATTATCCAAACTTTAAAATGTAAGATGGGGTATAATGAAAAGTTGGCCCAGAATGGTACCAATGGTAATATAAAGGAGACAAACTGGAGAAGTATTGACAAGGTAAAACAGACAAGTATACACTTGACTACAGGGTGGAAGGTTAGAACAGCTGGGATACAAGAGGAGGAAAAGGCAAAGATGACTCGCACGTTACTAGGTTTACCAACCAAGAGAGAGTTGGTTATAATTACTAAACCAGAGAATACAAGAATGGGTGGGGATTTGGATGACACTTTCAATTTGAGATACAAGGTTACATACATACATACATACACACACATGTATTGATAATTTGAAAATTAATGATAGAAAGAATATAAAAATCACTCAAAATCCTTCCACTTGGATAATATTAGTGTTAAAGATATTAACATAATTCATTCCAAGCTTGACAATTTACTATTAAGGGTATGGTAAGTAGCAATTCAAGTTATATAGGTGGAATGACAATGGAGGCTAGAACAGCTAGGGCCCTGAACAACTCTGACATTTCAGGACTGGGTGGTGTCTAGCAACATGATCTAGTGAACAAGATGCAAAGACCACAGTGGTAAGAGAATCCAGGTAAGCAACAACCCAGAGAATGTGGACTCAGAAACCAAGAGGAAATGTGAGGGGCCTTCAAAATGTTCGTGAAAGATGGAGATGAGAGATAATGGAATATTCTCAACAAGCTTTTGATGTCCCCATGTTATGTTTTCAAGACGTAAGCAAGATTAATTAGACAACAAACGACAGGACTGTCCAATGTCATGGACGTCACTGGTGAGAGCATTTCTGGGTAAGACAGAAGGAAGTGGGTAGGAGTGACACTGGAGGCTGACAATGAAACAAAAAGCAATGAAAACATTGAGTATTCATAACTCACAGGAGAAGATCCAAGGGACACACTGATCAAAATATAAGTAATAAAGATTTTTATAATAAAGACCCTCCATCTAGATTAATGATAGCTGTAGACAAGAATTCTTGATGGGTGAAAAGCTGTCGGGGGGGAAAGAGGACATTTTTCGTTTCCAAGTATCTTCCTATAGACTACCTATTAGAAAGAAAAGGGTCCCTTGACAGTAGTAAAGGCTGGCAGATGCCACCTTAGTCACGTGAGGAAATAAGTAATCGATACCACATTGATGTGATGCACTGGGGCACTTACATAGTATTCCTGCTGCTTAAACTAAATCTAATCATGTAGAAAGAGTCAGACAGATCTAAACTGAGGAGTATTCCACATGACTGACTGTCCCATAGACTTCAGAAACCCCTGTCTTGCAGGACAATGACAGGGCAAAAAATTTTGAAAGGACTAGATTCTGGATTTTTATTTTTTTAATGTTATAAAGTAAAATATGGGCACTGTTGGTAAAATCTGAATAGGGACTGTATGAGATCATTCAAGAAACGTAATTCAGGACATTTGCATTATTTAATGAGGAATTATATCAATGTTAAAAGTCATAAATTTGTTCATCGACTTCCAGTAAGAGAATGTCTGTGTTCAGGCACTACCCACGGACGCATTTAGAAGTGAAGAGTGGTGAGGTCTGCAACTTACTTCTAAAATAGTTGCACAGGGGGAGCGGGGAGGAAGGGGAAAATGAGGAGGTGATGCCAGGGGCATAGGTGGAGAGCAAATGTTTTGAGAATGATGAGGGCAATGAATGTACAAATGTGCTTTACACAACTGATGTATGCATGGATTGTGAGCCCTTAATAAAACGATTTAAAAAATAGTTGCACAATAATAATAGTAACAGTAATAATGAAAAGAATACCTATCAATATGAGGAAACTTCAATGTGGGAAAACCACGGATAAATGGTGAATCAAGATGAAAGAGGTATAAGTCTTCATGGTACTCTATCCATCTTTTCCGTAAGGCTGCAGTTTTTCCAATTACATAGGTGAAAACAGGTCTCTTTTGCACTGGATTCGAGCAAAGGAATACTCACCTCTTCAATAGCAGCGTCTTGTAGCAGAGAACGAATGTCCAGGCGCATCATGTGACGAGGTGCAGTTTCCCAGTGGTCAGCCATCTATTGAAAGGTTTGAAGTCAAGTTATCTCTGGAAATACTCAAAGGATGAGCATGCAAGACAAAATTAAATAATACACTTCTTCCTTAACTTAGCGACTATCTCCGTCTGACGTTTTGTATTATGACAATAGTAGAATATCCCAAGTAGGACTATTCTACACTTGACACTTAGGCAGCAACAAGCATCAAGGTTTGAGGCTAGAATAACAGTGGTTGTGATGATTAATGTTATGGGTCCAACTTAGCTGGGCCATGATTCTCAGTTGTTTGGTAGTTATGTAATGATAAAATCTGGCCAATCTGTGGGGATGAAGCCATCCTCCATTTTATGATCTGATGTGGTCACCTTCCATTTTCACATAATGCCAATTTTCTCCTAACAGCCTTGTCTTTGGAACCTAACCATGGACATAAGCGAGGAGTAGGCATGCTGTGAATTCTAACAGGCCAGTTCCAGGAACAGCTACGTCACCCCCTTTCCTTCCATGCAAAAGAAAGGAAACTTTAAGCATGCAGAAGAGGTTTTCTAAAAGAAAATGAGCTAATAGATTCCCACTAACAGTGGTGATACTGAATAAATGAAATTTACCATACTCCAGTCCATTTGTTTTCAAAAATTACCTTATTTATTTCTTTAAGCTTTCTTCCATGAATATTTCTCTTGCCACAAGTCTGGTTATCAGCACTCATTTCAGCCAAATATACCTAGGAAAGAATTAACATTGTTTAGGCAAACAAATACAAAAAATTAATACAAAGTGTTTTAAAGTTCTGTTAAGTCTATATACCTCAAAACCCTTGGTTTTTGCTGCACTCCAAAACTGGTCAAAATGTCGAACTCTGTCATTGATGGCATCCAAGATGATGAAAGGGAAAAAGCCATCATCCAGAGTCTTTTTGAAGGTTTTGAACATGCTGGTTCGGTAAGTCTCCTCCATCTCAGCTTCATATTCATATTCCATTACCTAAAGACCCCCAAGGAGATCTAGAGTTAGCAAAAACTAAGAATCATCCAGAAACTCTTCCTGGGTAGCAGACACATAAAGATGATTTTGCAGTCTGTCCTTTACACCCGAGTGTTAAAGTTCAAATACAGAAGTAAAAACCTTTCCCTGGCCTATAAAAAAGCCACATCTCCCACTGACCACATTTTCCATTAAACACTATTACTGAATCAGGATCCAGTCCACACCATACCTTCTTTTTCACTTTCTTTCCAGAATCTGGATCTTTTTCTTCTTTTTCTACTTCAGCAATGAAATAATCATCCAGGCTTAAAACTCTGGGTGCAGGTCCTCCAAATTCTACCTCCTTATCCTAAGAATTACATAGTTGAAGAGATTAAAGAGAATTTATGGAGTAAATCAACAAATGTCCACATCAACGCTCCCTTCTCATGACTACATCACATACCATCTTTGGGAGGCTTCAAATCAAGCCAAGGTAAAAGTGTTTATCTATAGTAAAAATGTATGTGTTGGCGCTGAAGACAAAATGGGTGCATAAGCAATTATGGTGAAGAAAATTGATGGTGCCAGCAATTAAAACATACAGCACCTGAGGTCGTAAAGGCTTGAAGTTAAACAAGCAATCATTTAGCAGGGAAGCAACAAAGCCCACATGGAAGAAGCACACCAGCCTGTGATCACAAGGTGTCAATGGGATCAAGTATCAGAAGATCAAAAATAAACAATTCTATTGATGTGAAAGAGAGAGGTCAGAGAGGGGCCAAAGCCTATCTATAGATGATTGGACATCCCCTCACAGAAGGGTCACACGGAAGGCTGCAACAGCAATGGGGACAAGAAGGAAGAAAATGTTCTAAAGCTGACTGTAGTGATGACAACACAACCCTTCTTCATATGCCTGAACTACTGCATCGTATTTTTTAAATGTATGTGAGATAGCATCTAACACACGGGCCAACTAAAATGAGGCCAACAAAAGACAACTATATCAAGATCGTGCTGCTAGGAAGGCAAGTGGTTAACAAAAGCAATGAACGGCTTCTATGGCTTTCTCATACTCACTCGAATGAGTTTTGCGACATGTGTCTTTCCACTGCCAGGCAAGCCTCTCATTATAACAACAATCTGAAACACAATGGACCAAAAAAACCAAAAACATTCAGAGAGGATTTTTTGGGGAAGGGCAATGACTTATTAAACACATATAGACAAAGTATCTCACTGAAACCTCTAGTATTAGTTTATTCAAACAGAATCTAGTTATTTTGCAAAATAGGACAAATTTAAGTAAAATCCACGTCCATTAACTAAGTCGCATACCTCTCCCTCTTTGTCCCACACACCCCAAAACTAAACCTACTTCTCCTGTTCTTCAAAGTGCAATTTCAACCCCAACCTATGTATGTATTCCCGCATTCAATCTGGATCTGCCCCACATACAGACAGACGGACAGATAGCGCAGGGATCTTTTTCTTTTACTTCGTAGTGCAAACCGGAAGAACAGCAGTACGTTGGCCCAGGTCTATCAATGGACGCGGTTAGTAATTGTTTTAAAGCTTTCGATTTTTTTTTTTTGGTCAAGCAACTAAGCTCTAATTTCTTTGAGATACCATAGGGTAGACAACTTATGAGCGTTCCACTGGGTGATGATTTGGAGATGGTATGACACCTTGAACCTTTTACCATTGCTACAGAAAAGTAGAGAAAACGTGTTGATAGTTTTATAACTCTTAGCTTCTGAATTGCAAGAAAACTAAGACTCACTCTCTCAGGTCTGCTCTCTCGGCCCGGGGGTTTCAGAATGTCATCAACATTCTTAGATTCAGGTTTCTTTTCAACCCGTGGAGCTGGAGGTGGCTGGTGACTCAGCGCAGGAGTGGACAAGGGCATTCGCTCCTCTGGGTAAGTTCTTCGTTCTCCTACAAGTCCCATAGTTAAAGAAAATTACTACTAACATGAACTTTGTTTTAAAACTTAACTCTCCTCACTAATCCTAAGGTAAAGTAAAAAAACCAGGTTGGGTGATTTGGTGAGCCATTAGAGAACGTTTTTTAAGAAAATGTACAACTATTGAAATCAAGAAAAACAAAAAAGTTATAAATTTAAGCAAACAGAATATTCTGAAAAACATTAAATTTATCTTAGTTATCTTAGTTTGTATTAATTTAGAAAAAAGCTTAAGCACCAAGGGATAGATATGGTGGATGGCAGCATTATAAATAACTTTATTTCTGTTTCCCAAATTTTCTTTTATGATATAAAACAGCAATTTCTGCTCTATTTCAATAATTAAACTTATTGGGGTTTTTTTTTGGAGGGGGGTAAATCATAGGAATTGTATTGACTGAATTATGCCATGTATCATCTTTTGTACTATTAAAGCTATTGTTACATACTATTTTCCTTAGCAAACCCTCCCATGACAATGGATTGTGTAGAGAAGAATGGTAAGAAAAGAAACTATAGTGAGGATTTTTTACAGTACAGTTTTACCTCAACAATGACAGCAGTAATGGAGAGACCCCACTCACTGTGGATGACAGTGCTGCCATCTGGTAGTCTTTAAGAGGCCCTTACTCTGCACGTTTTGATCCATGGCTGCCATAAAAAGTCACTCCCAAAGTTTACATCCCTAATGCCCATGGAGTAACAGGCACTGCCCTACCTCCAAACATGGATGGCCCTTCATAGGCTGGTCGGTCAGACTTCCGGTCATAGGAGGGCCTATCAAACCCCCCTCTTCTGGATGAAGAGTGGTCTTTTTTGTCTCGATATGACTGAGCCCTAGAAGGTGTTAACAGAAAGTACATTGGTAAGTTAAAAAAAGTACGTGGAGGTCTCTGCTTTAGAACACAACCCCATCATTTGCCTAGCTTTCTCTATAGGTAGTGGTTCCACAGTCAATAGCTACCTTTTGCTTTTGGAAAAGCACTTGCCCTTTGTACATATAAAAATCTCAGGAACTGTACAAATAAATCACTTGCCTACTAATTAAGTACTAACTGCACCTTTACTGACAACACCATTTCTAATTTCTAATTGTCTCCCATTCAATTCCCTGAAATTCAAGCGGAGAAGACTCAAGCACCGACTTTCTTGAAAACTGGTCCAGACCTGCTCTTCTCCCTCCAAAGCATACACACATGAAAGGACTGTGCCACTTACTGAACGCCGTTCGCTGCACTGACTCTTGCTGGATATGGTCATTTGCACACCCGGCCGAGATACTTTCCATAGCATACCTATCATCTCGGGATCGTCGATCTCTGTCGAATCGATCTCGATCATAGTCCATTCCACCACGATCCCGGTCTCGGTCCCTATGTGTTTCTCGATCCCTTTTAAAATCTCGATGATCTGCCATGACATTACTTTGACGATCAAAATATGGCTCACGGTCTCTGTCTCTATCATAACGATCACGTTGGCCCGTGTGGTCTATGAAAAAAAAAGTAGGGGGGTGGGGGGGGGCGCAAAAGAAAAAAAAGTAGCATATAGAATAAGGCTCAGGTCCCTTTTAAGAAGCAGAAAAGTACAACTTTAATTTTAAAACTAGTATCAACTGCTGTCCTAAATCCAATTTAAGAATCTTTTATCCACAAAGGGATGCCAGATAATCTCTCCAAAAGGGAAATCACGTGATAATTAGGTCCCAAGAAGTTGAAAGTAACTAATCTCTCTGGGACTCCTACCTGTCTCAAAAGTTGATCTCTCAGGTACCGGGTCTGGGCGCAAAGTTACTCTCTCCCCATAGGGTATCTGCTCAACTTTACTAGTGGCCATGTCTGGTAGGTAAATAAACACAGGGACAGAAGCACTGTCAGACTGCAGCCCGAGGAAGCCAAAGCTAAAGCTAAGGACTGCTCTAGAATCCCAGTCCAAGTTCACGAGCATCACTCACCTCGGCCATGGCCATAATCAACAGTCTGCTGCACTGGAGGTTGGTTGGACATCGGTGGCATACCCATGGGCCTTGGGCCAGGAGGAGGAATGGAAGGGTGAACAGGTGGGAGGGGTAACATGGGCCCTGAGGGAATCGTCATATTTTCTGACTTAAATTCTGAACGTAGTCCTTGGTCATCATTTGTATCCCAAAGGCCATAGAAAGAATCTTCATCCCAGCGCTCCTGCTGCACACCAGCAGTTTGTGACTTCATCGCTGGAGGAGGCGGCAGAGGCGGCGGGACTGGGACAGGTGGTCTGTTCATAGGAATAGATGATCTTGCTGGTGGAGCTGAAGGCCTCATGATTGAACCTGGTGGTGGCTTACCCATAGGAGGGGGTGGTCTATAGGGTCCTGGAGGCTGGAGAAGAGGACGATGGCTTAAGAGGCATGCATCCCACCATCTTTTCACAAATATGTAAAAATTAAAACCTGGTTCTCAATCCATCATAAAGAAAAACGGATAAACTGGATGTATTCAAAAATAAATTTTTTTCATGCATCAAAAGACAACATTAAAAACATAAAAACGATAAATCAAAGGGAGAAAAACTATATATACAGGAGTTGATCAGCTAATTTTAGGAGTAAACTGCCAGGTTTTAAAAAATCCTAGCCATTCTTAGTCTAGACACTGCTGAGACTTGTCCAACATCAGAGCAGCATGCAAGCCTCCACAGACACAACGTCTGTGGATGCACACACAAGCAGTGGCCAGGACTGCTGGAGGTAAGAATTTTACCACTGGACCACCAACACCTATACTACATTGGATGGAAGCCACTATAAGCTACAGTTAAAAACAAATGGTTGCTCTTACCTAAAGGTGACATTTTTATGGTGAAATGGCATTTTTAACTTTGCTAAGAAAACGCAGACATGGAAGAAAGATTTTCTTTGGAGCCTTACTATCTAGGTAAAGCGTAAGTTAAAAACAAAACAAAACAAAAACCAAACCCCAAAACTTGTTATTATGTCTGTAAAAATAAAATTATTTTCTTCATAATATATAGCAAAAGCAAAAGATTTATTTATTTTTTGAAACCTGCAGTATTTATGAAAAAGGATTAATTTCTATATTACATTAAGAATAATACAAATTAATATGAAAAACTTTAGGAGCCTAAAGGATAAACTAAAAGACAAAAACAGAATTTATATGAGGAGGTATTCATGCTCACTAGTTATCCAAAAGGCAGATTGAAGTGTTTTATTTAAACTATTGATGTAAGCAACAACCAAAAAATTAGAAGATGCTGGAAAGCTCTAAGCATTGGAATCCGATGGCAGTGAGGGATTTTTATCCTCAAAGGCTCAGTCTAGAACAGTGGTTCTCAACCTGTGGGCCGCGACCCCTTTGGGGGTCGAACGGCCCTTTCACAGGGGTCGCCCAATTCGTAACAGTAGCAAAATTAGTGTTATGAAGTAGCATCAAAAACAATTTTATAATTTGGGGGGGGAGGTCACCACAACATGAGGAATTGTATTAAAGGGTCGTGGCATTAGGAAGGTTAAGAACCACTGGTCTAGAAGGAAAGAAATAATGAAAATAGAGTGTGATAAGGATTATGACAGAGGCCAGTATAAGGTGTTACAGGGGCACATAAGAAGCAGTCGTCTCACACTAGTGGAAGAGAAGATAGCAGAGCGGAGTTCTGAAAGAAGAACAGGAATTAGTCAATTGGGGAAAGGGATGAGGGATGAGGGGAAGAAATACTAAGCTTAGCATATACAGTGTCACTGAGGAGTAAGAGTCTGGCATAACATAATTTCACATGCCAAAAGGAGGGGGGTAAGAGTGTGGACTAACAAGTAAGGGTAAGCAAGGGTTAGACCAGCTAGGGAGAACCTAGAAGGCCATGCAAAAGTATAGATCTTATGCTGCCTGGGAGCCACTGAAGGGATTTAATGCCTGGGAGCATAGTGAGATTCATGTTTCATAAAACATCCACTTGGGCCAGAAATCACATTATTCTCCCTAGATGGTGAGTCTGAGCCTCACTATAAAGGGAGCACAAGGAAACTTTATGCTCTAATGGAAATTTCTTGACCTTTCAGGATGTATTTGTCAAAACTCAAAGTGCAGGCTTAAACTGGGTGTGCTCTTTTATGTAAATTTTATCTCAAGAAAGATGATTCCAAAAATAAATAATCCCTCTGTTGTAAAGTAGGTATGAGGGACTGAAGCGGGGAAGAGGTGAGCTGGGGCAATTCTGAGGAAGTCAGGCCGGAGCCAATGGCGACACCAATGGAGAGGGTGTGGTGAAGGAGGGAGAGTTGTTGGTGTCCTCAACTCAGCTTCCATTCAGTGACGTCATTCGTCAGCGTAGAGCCGGTCCATGGAGGCTTCTTGGCTATGATCTTTATGGATGCAGAAGCCACTATGTAGGTTTGAACTGCCAACTCGTCAGTTAACAGCCAAGAGCTTACCGATCGTGCAGCTAGGGTTCCTTGAGCAATGAATCACTGATGTGGATTTGAAGGGATAAGATAGAGGAACAGGCTAAGGCTAAGGCTGACTTTAAGGCTTCCAATCTGGATGACTAGGTGATGGTGAAGACAAAGAACAAATTGAAGGGGCAGGGTCAACAAGCTCCATTTTGCACATGCTCACTTCGACAGGAGGCATGTCCACAGAGAGATACCTTGTGAGCAGATGCATGCAGAGATCAAGAGATATCATTTTGGAAGCCAGCAACATAAGGTGGTCACTGATGCTAACAACCATGTGTGAATGTTACAGGTTAGGCAGAAGGGAAGAGAATACTGAGACATGAAAACAGATGACTTGATGGAATGATTTAAGAATAGTTTTTCTTCTAGCATTGTGCTATTGTTCTAAAGTTGTCTGCATAACACTTGTAAAGCCTATTCTTGAACTGGGCAGTGCTTTGTTCTGTCGTACACAAAAAGGTCAGGTTGCTATGAGGCAGAACCACCTTCATGGCACCAACAATGTCATCAAAGGCTTAAGACAAAGAAAACAAAAGGAAAATAAAGCAAAGGGAGAACCAAATCCCTCAAGTTTTTAACATAAACCAGTCCTCATCACTGCTGCCTGGACTGGGGTTATGAGGTTCAAACCTGCCTGAAGAGATGGGAGCACTATTTGGCTCACATGAACACCATGTGAGAGCCCTTAGGTTAGGCTGCCCAAATGGGAAACAAGAAGATGTGAACTTAAAGGATTATTTGGAAAGTTCTACAACTTTGTGGCCATGAAGCTATGTTGTTCAGGTGTGCTTGTTGTCTTTCTCAAAACCTGGAGAAAAAACAAACATTTTGGCCACACTTTTAGTCTTGCTTGTAGGATTTTCAAAGGCTTATTATCTGAAGCTTTGTACTTTTCCAAACTTTACATTTAAAAAAAAGATGAAATCTATACTTGTTGGAATACAAAATACTCCAACAACCCAGCAGCACACAAAGAAAGCAGAAGTCCCTGGCACACATTTCCCGTACCGGATACATGCCAGGTCTTGAAACTGTGCTCTGTAATCGCGATGAGTCCTGGGGTGGTGGATGGTCAGGCATCTGTGGTTCAGACCCAAAAGTTTTCATTTTTTGAAGTTGTTCTTTCTGTTCCCTATAAACAAAGAAAACAAAATTCCCAATGCATATATATAGACATCTATATATCGTCTACTAGTCTACTCCTAACGGACAACAATTAACACCAAAGAAAGAATAAAAGACCTAAAAAACCTTGCCCTACAACCCTCTCCTGTACCCACAGAGCTCCTCTGGAGTAACCCTCTCTTTCCTTTATATAAGTCAATGCTGTCTCATAATGACCCGATAGGGCGGTTATCAAGAAATCTTTATGGGACCTGGCAGCCGCATCTTTTTCCTTCAAAGTAACTGGTTGGTTAGAAGTCTTGACCTTGAGGTTAGTAGCTCAACTCATAACCCACTATACCACCAGAGCTCCTTCCTAAAACCTACCCCAAGGTAAAACCAAACCCAGGGTCCTCATATTGATTCCAACTTACAGCAAGCCCATATAGGGTTGCTTAGGCTGTACATCTTTACAAGAGCAGTTAGCCTCGTCTTTCTCCCTGAGAGGTGGGCTCAACCAGCCTGCAGCCAGCAGTCCAATGCTTACTTGATACTGGCACCTAAAAGCTGGTATCACTGAGGCGCTTCAAAGTCAGATTCTACAACCTGTCTCACCAGTCCATTCTAAGGCATTTCATCTCTGCAGTCTTATTTTTCTCTTATCTAACCAAATGCTTTCTTGCCCACCTACCCTTCGTCAGCATTCCTTATGCCAGACACTGCAAAATGGTGGCCCTCAGTTCAAATAAGACCCAGAGGTTTTTCATTTGGCCTTCACATCCGTTTTAATAATTTGAAATGGTTGCTGTTGCTTACAAAGCACACCAAAAAAATGTTGTCTCCAAGTGCAATTTTTAAGAGACTTGATGGGGCCTACATTCCTACAAATCAACAATCAGGTGGCTGGTCACTTTAGATTAAATGGATTGCCACAAACCACACCACAGTCCGTGGAGTTACACCTGGCCCACTTTCACTTGTTTTTGCTGCCTGTCTGGTCCAAATGGGCATTTTAGTTTATGACCCCTGCGATAGATGGTGAGACCAACTGTCGGTATGCACCATTAAACAATACTTCATACTCCAAAAGTGTAATTAGGGCTGTTTTTCTTTTTGTTTTTTCAATCTCTAGTCAAATCCCTTTTACTTGTTCTTACAAGGCCTACCTTAAAATGTGTAACATCTGCAGTCATCTCACCAGATCTTTTACAAATTTCTCTGTACATTTTATAAAATGTTGATAACTCAAACGGATGAGAAAGAGTTCAGTATGCAAGAAAATTATTTCCTGCCTCAAGAAAACCATATTCCTTGACTGTACACTGAAAACATAGGCTACTTGCATTCAATTATAAATGTGGACATGTTTTCTTTAGTACATATCTTTAGTATGTTTTCTTTCTGTTACCTAGAAAGGGCTGCAGCAAAAATAAAAAGAGAAAGGGAAGTATCTTTACCTAGCATTTTATGCAAAGCAAAAATGAATGAAAAGGATGTTTTAAAAAGACAAGAAATCCTGGCAGTTTAACAACACAACCAGCTGAGTGCTCTCCATAAACAACACAAGATTTTAGCAATGAGTAGAGGTAGAGGGTTCAGATCTAGGTCTCTCACTTATTAACCAAGTGAACTTAACCTCTCTGAGTCTTAGTGTCCTCATTTGTGAAGTAGAGACAATACTATTTACCTCTGAGGGCCTTTGAGATAATAAGGTTTTGAGAAAAGCAGACTGAGGTAATATACAGGGGTGAGGGCCTTAGAAAAGTTCATGGAAAAATTCTATTATCTCTTAATTCCATTTTTTTCATGAACAGTGTGAAGCCTCCAGTTATGCTAAGTGATCAACAGAGCAACACAGTAGGTGTTTAACTAAAAACATCGATCATGCAAAAGTGAGCAGTGTAGTAGCTGAATGATCTATGTCATGCTTCCCACACCCTCTTCACAAGAAATCTGGGGAGAAAATACACCTCTTGGTACATGACTTCTACAGACCATGGAAATCTATTTTTCTAGTTCTAAAACTTCTGTTACATTTCAATTTATATACTCAAAGATGCAGACCAGAACAGAAAAACAATGCAAACACAATACTTTGGAACCTAGCAAAATCTGTTCACTTATTTTCTTACGAAGCAATTTCAAAGAAATTGCTAAAAAGCTTAAAAGTTTGGCACTGAGTCCTCACTTCCTAACCTAAACTGCAGTCAAGTTAAGTGAGGGATTAATGAGTTACTATACACAAAGCACTTAGGATGGTTCCTGGCACACAGCAAGCACACAACACACGCTAGCTCTTTTGAGTGCTACAACATGGGAAGCATTATGTAGATGCCTATACAGAGTTACTTGAATATAAACAAAGAATCCATATGCTATTCTCAAGCTCACAAAGAAAACATTTGATTATGCAGAAGCAAGTCACATCCTCAAGCAGCTAGCTACATCTGACTATAATGAGAGGTAAAGCATCCCCCAAAGAAAGATAAGTGGTTAGAAGAATGAGGACACTCCCAAGTAAAAAGCATTCTTAGCTTCAAGAGAAAATCTTCAACAGCATTTTTCAAAATGATACCAAAACTCAGTGTACATGGAATCTGTCAGATCAAATACCAAAGAACAAACTGACTACTGGGAAAGATGGAGGCCACATCTGAGCCTTGTGAAGTCCAGAGCACTGGAGAGTCCCTGTTTCCAACACGCCTGGCACGACACGTCAGCGACACAGCTACAGGAGTCAAGAGTGGCTATCAATGTTCACTTTCGGGGCCTAAATTTGTAACACAGTCCCTAAGTCCCTTTCCAAATTCTAAAGCAGTGCTGAATGACCATAAATACACAAGTATGTGATAAGAACTTGAATTCAATGATTCCACCTAAATATATCACATCGCTTTAAAAAGTGCAGTCTGAATGTGGTTTTGACTATAAGAAATGATCGTAAGTCGTCAACTTACCGAAGCATTTTCAGCTCTTGTGCAGCCTTCAAAATGATTTCATGCTGCCTCTGACTGAGAACCATTACCCCTCCAAGGCCTTGGTCAGAGTCTAAGTTTGCATCCGACCCCATCATTTCAGAGGAGTGATGCGTGGAGGGCAGATGTTCCGCCATGGGGGAATGTCTATCCATATCAGATGTGTACCATCTGTCTGACAACCGTTCTCTTTCCCAGTCCATTCTGTCAGGAACATAATCTCGCTTGTCCCGCCATGCATCTCCTCTTTCTGGATACTCTCGAATCCTCAGTTCGCCTCTGTCACGGAAATCTCGATCGTACCCATGGCCATGGTCTCGATTTCGTTCTTCTCGCCATCTATCATCCCGATATCTATCCAAAGGTGGAAGAGGTGGGAGGGTTGGTAAAGATGGAATAGATGGAATATCCCGTTCATGAAACTGTGATTCTTGTTCATCCAGTGGTCTCCCATAATCTCTGTCCCATTCATTATCCAAATTTCTATCATATACATCCATGGGTCTTCCAATCCGATCCACATCCCTGTCCAGTTCCCTGTTGTAGTCCTCATCCATCTCCGGATCTCGTTCCCAATCATCCCACCAAGGGCCCCGCCTATCTCCATCATGAGACTGAGATGGCGGTGCTGAGAACCTATCCTCTCTGTTATACGGATCCAGGGCGCCATCCTGATAGTCAGGCTCACTCTCCCTCCAGTATCTATCTCTATCCCAATCATCAAGTTGCTCGTGTTCCATTGGAGCACTCCTACCATCTAATGGGAATTCTTCATGCCCTCTGTCTTCTCCATGATTCCAGGGGGCCCTAGGAGGCTCATCTCGGTGGTATGGATACATTTTTTCCCCACCATCTCCAGGTTCTGGTCTGAATGAACCTCTATCACGACCAAAATCTGGTCTTCCCAGCCCCCTTTCCCTGCTGCCAGGCCCTCGAGGTGGTCCCCTCTCCCGGCTCCCAGCTCTTCGGGGTGGTGGTATTCGCTCCCTACTCCCAGCCCTCCGGGGAAGTCCTCTCTCCTGACTGCTCGTCCCCCGAGGTGGTCCCCTCTCTCGGCTGCCTGCTCTACCTCTCTCCTGGCTGCCTTGCAGACCACCTGGCACTTTCTCCCGACTGCTTCCAGGTCTCACAAGCCCTCTGTCCCGGTTGCCTTCTCCTCGTATCATCTTTTCTCTACTGTCTTCTCGTCTACCCATCACCTTATCATGAATGTCCTCTTGCTTGACCAACCCTGGGCTCCGGTTAACTGCCTGGCCTCGACCTCTGTTTACCAGACCTTTATCCCGTGTGTCTTCCATTCGCCCAGGACCTCTATAAGAGGAACTGCTGCCTTCTAATCTATTCTCTCTGTTATCTGACCGGAGCAACCCCTTTTCTTGGTTGTTTTCTGGAGTGGGTAGACCAATCCCCAGAGATTTAAAATCATTATCTGCAGTTAACGGTGCTGATGTTGCTACTGCTTCATCTCCTCCTTCCATACCCCCTGATTTTGAAGGAAAAGCAGATTGAGAAGGTTCAGGCTTATTTGCAAGGGCTACAGACTGAGTAACAGCTTGGGCTTTGTCCACTTCAGTCTCCACACTTTGAGAATTCTGATCCCAACTAGAAGACTCTACAAGTCCTTCCGAGACTTCACTTTTAGGTGGCTCTTGCTGAGAGTCGCTTAGATTCTCATCTGACTGAGCCGCCTTGGCATCCTTTACATCTGCAGTAACGGAAAATGCAGCTGATTGAATTTTTAAATTCTTCTGCTGGTTACTATTGGTCTCTGCTAACGGTTCTTTGTTTCCTGATAGAGGCTCTGCTTGTGACTTAGGAGGTGGCTGCTGATGTTGCTGTCCAAAAGCTGGTTTGGGGCCTCGCCACTGTGGTCCACTCTGTCGAGGACTTAGGGATGTATTGGGGGTAATATAAAACTGAGATGCTGGCCCCCGGGGAATCATTCCCCATTTGCTTTTAGTGCCCTCTGTTGAGTGACCTTCATATCTGGGTCTTGGCCCATCGGGGCGATTTCCTTCAAAACGAGGCCCTTTGGGTCTCGGTCCTTCACACCTTGACCCTAAATCCTCAAATCTTCGAGGACCATCAAATCTACAAGTAAAACAAAAGATATTACTCAAGACAGTAAAGCAGGAAAAAAAAAAGTTCTCCATGTAAGAATATTTAAGGCAGCCTTGCCTTAGATTCTGCTTACAACAATGACTTTTTCAGTCATTACAAATCCCAAGCCATCTATATCTTAGAACCAGTATGCCTGCATGGCAATGCTTAGAAGGTCTTAGGACAGGTTTTGGAAATCGGGTTGCTATTATCAAATTCCCTTGAACACATACCCTGCAGCAAGTCACTGAGGAACAGAATTGTTAAAAAGCAATTATATCTGGAGTGGGTGCAGAGAGTGGGGGGGCGTAAATAATGCCACCGAAAGGTATACATACAAATGGTTGAAATGGCAAATGTTTTGTTATACGTCTTTTACGACACATACAAAAAGTAATTGTAAGCATTATGCCTTGGTGGACAGAAAAGCTCACTCACTTTAAATAGAAAAAACAAAGCATTAAGATCTTGACTAGCTGACAGCACTTTAAAGAGCGGCAGCATATTGTAAAAGTATGTTTTAACTTTTTAAAAAGTCTGGCCAGAGATTTTACGATGGATCCACTCACTCATTCAAAGTCTACTCCCACTCCCTGCCATCAAGTCCATTTCCACTCAAAGGAACCCTACCTGACAGAGGAGAACTGCTTTCGGAAGTGTGACTCTTCCTCCTCCTGTCCAAGGGATATATACATCAAATGTGTACACGCAAAGAATTTCCAATCCAGTAACAAAGAATACAGAGAGCTGTGATAGGCACAATGACTAAAGTCTATCTGTGTACAATGAGGGCAACAGAGAGGTAAATGGTTAATTCTTCCAGAGTGAGGCTGGTCTTGTCCAAAAGGTGAAGATACTTATACTGAGTCTTTAAAAGCACAATCTCTGAGACTGGGAACATAGGAGAGAGGGTTGTAAGGGCATCTGAGAAAGCAGTTACTAGGAAGGCAGAGAAACTCATACCGGCACGTACAAATAGTTTGTAGCAGCTGAAGCAAAGGGCAGGTAAGAGTAGGAAGAGTTGGGAGGAGGAAAGAATGGGAAAATCCCACTGAAACACAAAGAGCTAGGCAAGGGTCAATCCGCAGAAGACCTTGTCTGTTTTGTGGTACAGAAACTGCTGGTGACCCTCCAATATACACGCTCCCCTTTTCCATAGCAACAGAGCTCCCCTAGTTTTAGGTGGAGACAGGAATTTGTTTCACTTGCTTGAACATTACTGAAGAATAATGCATTGCATTTCAGTAAAACTTAAGTCTTAGTCCTGAAGAGAGGAATGCTTCCCCCAGGAAACATAATGATGCTAGGGGCCTCTAAGTAGAGACGGCCACCTAGCCATTTTGGGCTCTGGATCAGCAAGCAAAGAAGGGCGGGGCCTGCAATGGCTGGGGATGAGTGATTTGATTCTGACTTTTAAAAAAATCATTTTATTGGGGGCTCATACAACTCTTATCACAATCCATACAAACATCAATTATGTAAAGCACATTTGTATATTTGTTGCCCTCTGCATTCTCAAAACATTTGCTCTCCACTTAAGCCCCTCATTTCCCCCCCTCCCTCATGAACCCTTGATAATTTATAAGTTATTATTTTGTCATATTTGATTCTGACTTCTAAGGGAAACTAGGTTACCAGCACACTGTAGGGATAAGAAGGTATTCCTCTAGAATACAGGAGATCTTCTAGGGAACCTCTTAGGGATTAAAATTCATGGAAAGCTAGAAAACCCAAGTTAGGCCCAATTCCTAATAGCGTAGACTCTTCAAGAACAAAGGTTTAGATCACTCTACGGGGTAAGCAATCATGACTAGCCGAGATGTTTGCTGAGGGCAAAGGGATTATGGAATGAGTAGTGGAAGAAGGTAGTTATAAATACTAGTTCCCACCAGTGACCAGTTGTAATAATAAAAATTTTTTAATTAAAGAGTATTTCTTCCTTAATTTGATATATTGTTATAATATGTAACTATATTAACTAGATATTATCTGGGTATTTTGTTTTCTTTATCATCTAACGTACTGTATTGATAACAACATAATATCTCAGCATTTAAATTATAGAATATCAAAGAAAGGAAATGAATCAAGTTTGGAAAATAAGAATAATTCTACCCTGAAGACAAAAAAGGAACTTTATGTCCTTTCCTTTGGGGAAAGGGTTAGAATGTTTTTCGTTCCCATGGATAACTGTATCATACTAGGTGCAAAAATCTCCTTTGGAGTCCATCCTAATTAGAAACATATAAGAAAGGGAATTCTGAGAAATGTAGTTCATCCTAGCCAAATTGCCACTTGAAGTGTTCACAAGAAATTTTAAAAATATAAACCCACGAAAAATAGATGGGATATAACACTTGGGAACAGGTTATCAGATTAATTTTATTTTTAATTTAGAAGACATAAAAGTGAAAATGAGTGGGACTTATGGAGCAAGAAGGAGCTACAGTATAAGAGTGCTGGTCACAGATGGGGATACCACCACCAGAGATAGGGCTGGCTTGTCCATAAACCCCAGAAAAGTTCAGGATTCTCAGAGTTAGTTAAGGCTTAGGGCTGAAAATACATAAATTAAAGTCTATATTTAGAGCCATCAACCAGTCTCCCTTAGGCTGAATGTCTAGATGTTCATATTTGTAGGTCTGCTAGCATTAGTAGCCAGTGTCCAACTACCATCTGAAGCAAAATCCTTGACAATTGACTAGTCCTTCACCCATACACAGTGCTCCTGAAGAGCTTGTCAACATTCTCCACACTGGATCTAGTGATCCAAGGATCTTTAGATAGTTGAGGAATGTCTCCAAAATAAAGGGGAGAGACCAAAGATAAACAAGCAGGGCATGCATCCAGAGAAAATAGATCATGAACAACGAAAGAACATTAAAAAACAACATACAAACAAAAACCCCATCACTAAAAACTCAAATTGGTATCCTCAGAGGGATTTTTAAAGCTATTGTACCCATAAATCAAAAACAATTTGCTCTATATAAAATAGGATCAAAGTTCTTAAAACACTCAATAAACACAGAAAGTACAACAAATAAGAGAGAGAAAAGAAAGAAGACAAAAAGATAATTTATCAGGTCCAAATGTGACTAATGAGTTTCAGAAAGAAAAAAAGCAAGACAAAAGTTAATGACAAAATAGCATGGAAAAATGTCCCAGAGTTCAGAGAGCCCAGTTTTTGGAAAGATTTTCCAGTATAATGAATAAAATGAGAACATTTAAGAAAAAATTCAAATACCAAAACCCATAATAAAATTACTTTAAAAATTCAATGTAATTCTGATACAAATCCCACAATTTAAAAAAAGAAAAGAAAAACTAATTACCAACTTTAGATGGAAAGGAAAGAAAACTAGGATAAATAAAACACAATTCAATAACAAAGTAGGAGGCCTTTTACACTCACACCTTAAAACCTATAATATAGTCACAGGAATCTAAACAACCTGGTACCAATGGATTAGAATTGAAAACCCAGAAATACAACCAAGTACCTATAGACACCTAAATTTTGATAAAGAACTAAAACACATTAAATGGGCAAGAGATAGCCTTTTCAACAAATAGTGCTGGAAAAATGGAATCTTCACTTGCAAAAGAATGAAACAAGACCCATACCTCACACAATGTACAAAAACTCAGGATGGATCAAAGACCTTAATATAAATCGTATAAGACCATCAATGATAAATTAGGGACAAACTTAAGGACCCCAATACAAGACACAAACACACAACAAAACATAATAAAAAACATTCACACTATTGAAGACAAAGATAAAAGAAATGAGACCTACTAAAAATACGACATTTACAGTACAACAAAGGACTTTATCAAGAGTCAACAAAGAACCCACAGATTGGGGGGAAAAATAGTCAGTAATAATACGTCATATAAAGGGCTCATCTCCAAAATTTATAGAGAACATCTTAACAAGAAAAATACAAACAATCCAATCCCAAAAAAATAAAAATGAGCACAAGACATGAATAGGCACTCTATCAAAGACAATATATGAAGGTGACTTACAACCATATGGAGAAAAATACAAATTAAAACAATGAAATATCACTTCACACCACCCTGTAGGCAAAATTCAATAAAACAGAAAATAATTTATTAGGTATATAACCTAAAGAAATTAAAAATATAACAGGAATAGTCATATGTATGCCTATGTTTATTTATTGTAGCAATTTCTACAACAGTAAAAAACAAAGAAACAACCAAACACCCCAACTATAGAGAAATGAATGAACAAGCTCTGGGATATATAGGATACTATGCATCAATAGGATACTATGCATCAATAAAAAACAATAATATATGTCCCTTAAATACTGCAAGACATTGTCAGAACGATAAAACAGCATGTTTTGCAAATTCAATCGTACAAAAATAAATATTTAGTATCACCATTGTTTTAAAGAAAAACAACAAAGAAGAAATATGGTTTATATACCAATACATGAGATTTTGACCTGACTATGCGGAGGCCAGGTACTGGGGTGTGGACAATGAAGAGGGAAGGTTGGGGAGGGGAGACACACACAAAAGGAGGGTTTAACAGGATATTGCTGGTTTCATATTTCTTGGGCTGTATAGTATAATAAATATAATGTTTCTCTTTTAAAAAAAAAGTCTTCCAGATTCCTTATTCCTTAAGTAGTGGTTTGAGTGGCTTTAAAAAAAAAAAAAGAGGAAAAGTAAAATGGAAATAGACTTGGAGTTTTTGCTGACAAACCAGTTCATCTCAAGCAAACAAACAAATGCAAGGCACATCACTGTAAACTTTCAGAAGACCAGAGATAAAAAGAATCCATAAGCTTCTGGAATGGGGTCACCTCAAAGGAGAAAGAAGACAAGAGCCGATGCTGACGCAGTGACCCTACAAACAGAGCAGCCCCCTACGCTGGCCTGCACACCCTCACACCTTTCCTGGTGGAGCCCATTGTGACGGCTCCCGTGTCAATCCATCTTAA